CTTGAAAAAATAATACTTCATTTTATATGGAATCAGAAAAAACCTCGAATAGCCAAGACATTACTCAGGAATAAAAACAAAGCAGGAGGAATCATGCTACCAGACCTCAGATTATACTATAAATCCATAGTGATCAAAACAGCATGGTACTGGCACAAAAATAGAGATGTAGATGTATAGAACAGAATAGAGAACCAACAGGTGAATCCAGCTACTTACCGTTACCTGATCTTTGACAACCAATTAAAAACATTGAGTGGGGAAAAGATTCCCTATTTAACAAATGGTGCTGGGTGAACTGGCTGGCAACCTGTAGAAGACTGAAACTGTACCCACACCTTTCACCATTAACTAAGTTAGACTCTCACTGGATTAAAGATTTAAACTTAAGATATGAAACCATAAAAATACTAGAAGAAAGAGTAGGGAAAACACTTGAAGAAATCGGCTTGGGCGAAAATTTTATGAGGAGGACCCCCCGGGCAATTGAAGCAACATCAAAAATACACTATTGGGACCTGATCAAACTAAAGAGCTTCTGCAAAGCCAAGAACACAGTAAGTAAAGCAAGCAGACAGTCCTCAGAATGGGAGAAGATATTTGCAGATTATGTCTCTGACAAAGGTTTAATAACCAGAATCCATAGAGAACTAACACTTATTAGCAAGAAGAAAACGAGTGATCCCATCTCAGGGTGGGCAAGGGACTTGAAGAGAAACTTCTCTTAAGAAGATAGGTGCATGTCTACAGATATATGAAAAAATGCTCACCATCTTTAATCATCAGAGAAATGCAAATTAAAACTACTTTGAGATATCATCTAACTCCGGTAAAATTAGCCCATATCACAAAATCCCAAAACCAGAGATGTTGCCGTGTATGTGCAGAAAAGGGAATACTCCTACACTGCTGGTGGGAATGCAAACTAATATGTTCCTTTTGGCAAGACATCTGGAGAACACTTAGAGAACTAAAACTAGACCTGCCATTTGATCCTGCAATTCCTTTATTAGGTATATATCCAGAAGACCAAAAACCACATTACAACAAAGATATTTGTAACAGAATGTTTATTGCAGCCTAATTCATAATTGCCAGGTCATGGAAGAAGCCCAAGTGTCCACGACCCACGAATGGATCAATAAACTGTGGTATATGTACACCATGGAATACTATGCAGCCATAAAGAATGGTGGAGACTTTATGTCCTTCATGTTTACATGGATGGAGCTGAAAAATGTTCTTCTTAGCAAAGTATCACAAGAATGGAAGAAAAAGTATCCAATGTACACAGCCTTATTATGAAACTAATTTATAGCTTTCATATGAAAGCTATAACCTAATTAAAGCCTAAGAATATGGGGTGGGAATGAGTGGAGGGTGGGTGATTGGAGGGATCACTTTCTATGGTTTATCTTACAAGGATACAAGTGAATCTTTCTAAGAGTAGAATATAATCGTCTTAACACAATAAGAAAATGACATAAAGGCTATGTTAATCAGTTTGATGAAAATATTTCAAATTGTATATGAAAACACCACACTGTACCCCATGATTGCATTAATGTACACAGCTATCATTTAATAAAAAAAAAAATCATCAAAAATTAGAAAATGCACAAGTGTCTATCAACCAGTGAAGGAATAAACTATGGTATATCCATACAGAGGAGCACTACTCAACAATAAAAAAAGAATAAAGTATTTTTTGGTTTTTTTGAGACAGAGTCTCAAGCTGTCACTCTCAGTAGAGTGCCGTAGCGTCACAGCTCACAGCAACCTCAAACTCTTGAGCTTAAGCAATTCTCTTGCCTCAGCCTCCTGTGTATCTGGGACTACAGGCACCTGCCACAAGGCCCAGCTATCTTTTTGGCTGCAGTTATCATTGTTGTTTAGCAGGCCCGGGCCAGGCTCGTATCCTCCAGCCTTGGTGTATGCAGCCGGCACCCTACTCACTGAGCTACAGGTGCAGAGCCAAAAGAACAAACTATGATACTCACTACTACAGATGCACTCAGTGACACAGATGAACTGCAAATACATTATGCTAAGTGAAAGAAACCAGACTTAAAAAGCTACATATCAGATAATTCCATGTAAACGATATATTAGAAAAGTAAAAGTAGAAGGACAGATCAGTAGTTTTTAAGAACTGAAGTAGAACAGGAGCTTAACTACCAAGGAGCAATGTGAGTAACTTTGGAAGATTATGAAACTGTTTTAATTATGGTGATAAATATACATTTGTGAAAACTCATAGACTGACCACTGATAAAAATGTTAATGTATGAATGAAATCTGGACAAGAATGACTCCTGTAAAAGCCATCTACTAAAAATGTGAATTTTTAAGGTGAATTACTTTTAGCACCAAATATGCCACATAGTGACACCAAAAGTTCAATGTGCCACATTCAGATATAACTTTTTTTATCTAACCTCATAACTTAAAGTACAGAACTATTAGAAGGAATGTAAAATATTTTTCATTTTATACAGTGGTAACTATACATAACAGTCAAAGACGTTTCTTAACTAATACACAATTCAATAGAGTTTAGACTGATTTGGCCTTTCCAACTTTACTGATATATGCATATGTAGCTTTAACCACAAAATAATCCATTTTTCAAAATATTAACATATAATTGAAATAGGTAAGTACTGTCAAAATGCACTAACCTGAATTTGTTCAGTTAACCAGTAAAGGCAATAAATCACTTTATCTTGAATGAAAACACAATCAGGGTCATGGGTACCCTCTTAGAAAAAGCAGCAACCTAGAACAAAAGAAAAATACACAAAATTCAGCCCTATTTAAAACTTCATTAGCATTATTATGCTTTTTTAAAAAATCCATTTAATATTCTCTTTGGGAAAGTATAACAAGAATGGAAAAGCAAGTATCCAATATATTCAATGCTAATATGAAGCCAGTAGATGAACTAATATATGCCCACACAAGAGAAAAACTCAATTTAATTCAAGTTGGTGGAACAAAAGAAGGGGGAGGAGGAGGTAAGGAGGATGAGGGGGATTCGTGTGCTCTCACCTAATGGGCACAACATAAGGGTATATGACACACCTCCTGGATGAGAGGCACAACTACAACAGGGACTTTATCTAACAAATGCAAACCATGTCACCTAATAATTTGTACCCTCACATTAATCTGAAAATAAAATAAAAATCTGTTTAACTTTCCCTTACGTAGCCAGTCATAACATGTAAATTCACTTATTTTGTACATTTATTCTGCAAGCAGCACTTTCCAAATGCCAACAGGGGATGGATTTTCATTTTGCAAATTATACCCAAACTCAGTAACACTCAATGTCTTAATTTATTTCATAGTTCATCTTAAAGTAAGTTAGCACCCGTAAAACTTGTGTTGTGAGCATGAAATTCTTTAATTTTGTCTACTAATTACTACTTTAATTTTGTGGGCTATCAGAAATCAATCTCTCTCTCTCTCTCTCTCTCTCTCTTTCTAAATCTCACTCAGTTGCTCTAGAGTGTCAATCAGTCTCAAGTGTCATGGAATCAGCCTCACTCACAGCAACTGCAAACTGCTGGGCTCAAGTGATTCTGCTGCCTCAACCTCCCAAGAGCTGAGACTACAGGCACCAGCCAAAACACCTGGCTAATTTTTCTGTTCTTAGTAGAGATGGGGTCTTGTTTTTGCTCAGGCTGGTCTTAAACTAATTCAAGGAATCCTCCCACCTCGGCCTCCCGGAGTGCAAGCCACCGTGCCAGCCAAAAATATCTCTCTTTCCATACTAAGGCTCAAAATCTAGCTGTACAGTCTGTAATAGTTTCTTACTATCTTCTATATAAACTTCCACTCATGCCTATTTAATTTGCTTACTTCCCACAGAACAATTTTGTGATCTCAGCTGTCACCCTCTAACACGCCACTTCTTCTTTTTAGAGCAGGAACTTTTTCTCTTTTATCATCATTGTCAATCAATGCACAACTGGCAGCCTTCTCAAAATCCAGCCCCTCTTTACTGCCTGAATGAAAGCTTATGTAATCATCCTGTATGCCATCAATCTTTGCTAGACTATTTTGCTGCCATATATAGCATATATGCCATCTCATGAAGCCTTCCAATCAGGGACCCTTCTCCGTATTTCTTTTCTTTTGTTCCTGCCTCTATCAACCAGCACCACGTCTGGCGCACAATAAGTAATCAGTATGATCAACCAAAAAGTGAAATGGTCAGAACAGAGTCACACATCAAATGTTCACTGAGTATGTATGTGCAACTCATAAACACCCAAGAATAACATAAAGATACAATGCATTCTCATGCAAATATGTTGAAATTATTCTCAGATAGCCATCACTATTAGTTTGTGAGAAGTAGTTTTTCTCTAATGACACCAAAGCCTACTGAAACCAATTAAAACTAATACAGAAGCACCATCACCAATTTGAACTCTTCTAACACAAAAGTAATCCCAATGCTGTTATTTTCATTTTATATTCCAAAGTCAAAAATCCACTCATAGGCAAAACAGCCTACAAGAAATAAATCCAATAAATTACTCTAAACCCATTAAGTAATAAGTAAATTTGTAGAGTGCTTTATTGTTTACATTATCTCATCTGATAGATCTATTTGAAGAGAACAAACAACTGCCAAGTCAACTACTCCCAATGTCCATAAACATGCAATTCTTAAATGGCCATTAACCCTAAATTTAGTCAGCCAAGGTTCACTGTGATTCTTTGCTGTAACTTCACCCAAAATTCTCTGTCAACTTCCCATGATAATCCAATAGTATGATATTTATGTTTCTAGCCATTATGGATAACTGGTACCTGATTTATCCTTTGGGTAAACTACTGTAAAACTAGACAAAATAAATGATACAACAGTTTCCAGCCATGAACAATTCCCATAGATCTATGTTCCCTGAAAGAAACAAACTAGCTAAGTCCTAATGTTCTAGATTTAAGCAGAACATAGCAATCCAGCTAACCTGAAAAGACAAAAATCGGAATTATGAACAGTGGAGATGTCAGGAATTACTGGAATAATGTACTAAAAAAAGGGAGTTAGGTAGAGAAAAGCTCTAGACACCCATATTTGGGGACACTTGAGTCTTTGATTTAGTATGTTTACTACTCTACACACATTTAGTGTGGAATTCCATAGCTCAGGCAAAAAAAACAACTACTGGGACCTAAAACATGAACAATGCAGAGGTGACATTGAGCTGAGTGACATTTATGTTCCATCTAGCCACAACAGAGACCTCATTTACACTCTTGGAGTCCAACTTGAGGCCTACAGGCTGCCCGCTGATTTTGTGAGTATTTTTTTTGCTTATCAGACATCATGAAAATTACATAAGGTCTTCTTTTTCCTGATCGGCTTTCCTTATGTTTGTATGTAGTAAATACACAGTAAGCATGCCCTAAGACAACTTTTATTCTTCCAGTGTACAACAGGAAAAAAAAAAGCTAGACATGCATGCAAGTTTAGGCAATTAAGTAGAGTGCTAAATTAGTCCTAGAATAAGGACTACTTTATAACAATTCCAACAGAGCTTAAAAACAAGCCTTAAAGAAACAAGCTGATCCTCAGTTTAGCATCTGTAACCACCAGCCAGAACAGAAAACCTCATGATTCATGGGCCTAAGTATTCAGAAGGGCTGTGCCTCAGAAGTAGGGCAAAATTAACCCCAGATTAAGTGGTTCCACTTGACAAAGTAAAAGCAAAACCTGAAAACTAAAAAATATGTTCCAAGTAACTTAAATATGAGGTCTGACAATTAAGAAATTAGAAAAAAATGCCACATACTTCATTGCTGAATATCATATATGATGACAAGTCCAATGGCCATTCCAGAAAAAGAGTTCCAAAACTGCTTTGAAGGGCAAACTAGGTGCTGACATCAGTACATAGTGTCCTAAGAAAAATACCTCAAAGGTGACAGTAGTGATATTCAACAAAAAGGTATGAGTACTTTTTCTAGGATGAATTTGAAAACTTAATTGTCTAACCTCGTATATCCCAGGAAAAAGCTCAAGAATATTCATATTTTTTATTTACATACAAAAATATCCAATACCCAACAAAGTAAAATTTACAATGCCTTTCTTTTATAGGCCTGATAAGCATCAATTGACTACCATAAATTACAACAAAAAATAGAGCCTGAATCAGGAGAAATAGCAATCAATTAAATCCAACCCAGAAATGACACAGTTTATAGAATTAAGAGACTAGGACATCTTAAGTGATTATACATGTCCGCATGATACTTGATCAATCAGGAAGTTTTCTACTCTGTTGAATTCAAGTTGTATTCCTGGTGCTGTGTGAGCTCTAAATATTGTGTTGTTCTCTCCTTTCCTTTGGGGTAGTTCTTCAAGTAGTTTTCCTCACAGCCATGTACGAATCAGTACTCAACTGGATTCTTGAAAGACGCTGCTCCAGATCTGCAAAGTTCTTCTTGCAGCTTTCTCCTCTCAGGTACTCTACCCTGAGAAATCTAGCTGCCTTGGCTCACTATTCTCCCAGCAAGATCACGTCAAGTCAGCAAGATCACTTCAATTCAAACCTCTAGTCTCCTCCTGCCCTGCTCCAAGTCTTTTTTTTTTTCTTTTGAGACAGAGTCTCACTTTTGTCAACACTGAGTAGAGTGGCATAGTGTCACAGCTCACAGCAACCTCAAACTCCTGCACTCAAGTGATCCTCTTGCCTCTCCGGAGAAGCTGGGACTACAGGCAGCCACCACCTGGCTATTTTTCTTTTTATTTTTTTCAGACAGAGTTTTATTTTGTCACCCTCAGTAGAGTGCCATCACGTCACAGCTCACAGCAACCTCCAACTCCTAAGTTTAGGTGATTCTCTTGCCTCAGCTTCTCAAGTAGCTAGGACTACAGGCGGCGCCCACCACAACGCCTGGCTATTTTTTCTTGCAGTTTGGCCGGGGCCGGGTTTGAACCCGCCACCCTCAGTATATGGAGCCAGTGCCCTACCCACTAAACCACAGGCACCGCCCTTCACCAGGCTGTTTTTTAGAGATAGGGTCTCGCCCTTGCTGGAACTCTTGAGCTCAGGCAATCCACCCACCTTAACCTACCAGAGGTCTTGGATTACAGGCCTCAGCCATCATACCCGGCCTCCTGCTCCAAGTCTTAAAACTCTCTCTAGGCAGTAGCTAAGGCAATTATAGATCTCACCTATTTTTTCTCCTATGCAGGGAGCAGGGGTGGGAAAACTGTAGCCTCAAGGCCACATGTTGCTCTCTAGAACCTCAAGTGTGGCCCTTTGATCAAATCCAAATTTCACAGAACAAATCCCTTTATCAAAAAGCTATAGTCAAGGATCCAGAAAGGCATATGTGGCCCCAGGGCCATAGGTTTGCCAAGTACTATTTATTTTATTTTAAAGAAGGAATATGAACTAATTAACTTTGTGAAAGCACTGACTGCTGAAATTTTCTAAAAGTTAGATGTGCTCAAGAAATATCACTCATACATTAATAAGTTATCTTAAAACAAAGATACTAATGGATTTAATTAATAGTAAGAGAGGACTCGTGTAAAAACAGAAAGTACTGTCATGAGAAATTAAAAGCACATAAAAATGTATACTATGTAATTGAAAAGAAGATTAATAATGGAAGTGAAAAAAGCAAGTATTAATAGGGTATAAAAGAATAAATATCCAATTATCAGCAAAATAAAAGCCAACATAAGAAAAAACTCATTTTAGAAAAGATACAAACTTAAAGATTTCTCTGAGAAAAAGCAATGTA